CTGAGTTATGATTGTAAAAATACTATAATCAATGCACAATATTCCCATTATCAGCACTCTATACCTACTATACTTGTCATGAGTGCATCAGTAATCTTATTAATCTATTTATTATTTCTATTAATATTACGTTTATTATGTTTATATTATATTAATGCTATTATTATCGGTACAGTATAAAATATCAAAACTTTTTACTCCTATATTCACATCACCTTAAAGTTTTATGGGCTCACGAAACACCAAACTCTAACGTTATTATCTTTCGTTCTACCATAAATTGCTATCATAGTTATTTCGTATACTGATTGACGCGGAATAGATGCGTTATAGGACCTTTTCCACACAACGAGTAAGCTAAGCAGAGTTGAACTTATGCACGYCAACAGGCGAGTTTGGACTCCCAACTCAAAGCTGTGCCACTTCCCCCATGCGAGATGAATCCCTAGCAATATATAGTGGTGAATACATGGGCACGMRGAGATAATACAGAGGAATTTACACGGGCGGTCCCTAGCAATATATAGAGGATTTTACACGGGCGCGAGGAGATAATATAGAGGATTTTACACGGGCGCGCGTAGATACGAATTTCAGTTTATCTTCTCGTGTTGAACATCTCTTGCTCGTTCGCRTGTRATATTCTGTTTATAATATAATGAAAAGAAAATCCAATATGTAGAGAAACTTTGAATGGTTTTTCACTAGTAAAAATAAAACTTTTTCAAAAGGGAGATATGTAAGTACCTATTTCATAGGTAATTGTGTGATAAAATGAATTCTAGGATTCCATACCTTGTGAGAAGAATTATTAAAAATTAATTAAAACTCATCAAGACAAACAGCTCTTAAAAATTTCTAGGAACTCTAAAAAAACGGTCAATGAGCTTTAGATATATTCAAGGACAATCTTACTCGGATTCATCATTTTCATTCAGTTTCCATAGTGACTACTAAAGCAGAAACCCTAAAAAAATGTTTTTCAACTTTTAATTCACATGGAACTTGAAACTAAAACGTATGTTTACCAAAAGAACTTATTACAGATTGACTTATCGATTGCGAATTAACAAAAAAATAATTCCACCTGGTTGTATTTGATATAAATGACCGTTGCACCACTTCCACTATTGAAATAGCTGAGAAGTCATTACCGTCAAATTTGCACATATTCAGGCTGTCCTATGCTTAAAACGTTTTTGTATAACAGTCACCTTTATGTCATCATGTCATATTCAACTYTATTCAATATTTTTTTTATTTTCCCAAAATTTATGGGGCTCATTATCGTCAATACAGAGATACGAAATATGGAGGAGCTAAGGGACTGTGCAATAATTACCAGATACTAGGAGAGCCTAATTTATGTCGTTTGTGAGGGGGATTAACTTTTTTCGTTGTTTTTTTTTTTGGCTCATTTCTGAACACCTTCCTGATCATTATTGCGCAGTCCCTTATTACCAGACCAACATTGTGGGCGTAATATCGCAGTTCAAGAGGAGGTTTTTGTTGTTTCTTGCTGGCGATATCTGCTCCGTACAAACACTAAACCTTTTTTGGACAGCGGTTAAGTTTATAATTGTATTTTGTACTGAAGACAGCGTGTAGTTTAATTGCAGCATTGAATTGCAGTCTTGAAATGCACTATGGTGTATCGGTATGCAACGTTTTTTGAAAAAGCTCCTTGTTTTTAGCAGTAATAATAATATTTGTTGGACACGCCTATAGTCTATTATAACAATAATTTCTATCGTTACTTATAGATGAACACCCTCCTTCAGCTCGTTACACCAGTGGTATCTATCACCTCWGTCATCGTCATCTCCTTCGAGCGTCTCCGCGCCATTAGAAGTACAGTACGCGTGAAACCTATAACCCCTCGCTGGTTTGCCTGTCTGATCGCTGCCACTTGGCTTGTTCCTATCGCTATCTACAGCTACACTCTTTACGCGTTTGAGATCGTGCCAAAACAAGACGATTTCTATTGTGTCGACGTCTACATCGATAGACAAGGCTGGATCCTTTACCACTACGTATTCTATGTCATACTGGTAGGCTTGTTCGTTGTGCTGGTAACGCTGAACATCCTCGTCATAAAAAGCCTGCAGTCATCCAAGAACGACCTTGCTTTGCCTGAGATCGAGATGAAGAAGCGCGAGCGAAAGTTCACCCGTGCAGTTCAGCTTGTGGCGTGTTTCACCATCGCCTTCATGATCTTTTGGAGCCCGCGAAGTTGCCTCAAGTTTCTCGATCATCTCCTGGTATTTCGTTTTCAGAATTGTACCACGTTGTATTTCAGCATCGATATGTTGTTTCTGTTRAATTGTGTTTTGTCGCCGGTGATATATTTTGTATTTTTGAAGGATTTTCGCGATGCTTTGAAAGATTTAAGAGGGAAATTTTCAGTAGGATTTGTGACGGTAAGCAGCAGTAAGGATAGTGATGAACGTAAGATTAGCAAACTRCAGAGTACATCACTGTGATAAATATGTAATACAGCTACTGTAAAGAGGTTTTCTGTAGAGAAAGAGCACGACCGCAACTTACTGTGGGTATTTTACCGCTAAGACTCATGGGCTTCCTGTCTTTTTAGGAGAGCTAGAAGAGGGAGAATGGGAGCGAATAAGGAAGAGCGAATATGACCGTTATGTCTGCGGAGGAGGTTATCCTTAGCATGTAAATCTAGKTTTCTTTCAGCGAATCCACAGTATAGAACAATATTTGATTCTGAACTTGAAATTCTTTCCCGGCCATCACATCTTTTATACTAACGTATTTTTGTTTTGGCGACTTTGAGGATTTTGTTACATGAATATCTTCTTAAAATTTATTCAATCTCGTCGAACATGGCAATACTGAAGCACACCGGGTGTGTTGTTCTTTGGGTGCGATTTTGTTGCTAATAATGACAAATCGATTATTGATTATTATATTCGTGTTCTCATCAGTCTCCGATAACGTGCTATATTTTACTGATAAACGCATCCCAGGGAGTAGATAATTACTTTCTATATTGTGCTCAAGTAATGTCGCTGCAGTTTACCGGTGAAATATTGCACTTACTGAGTGCTAAGAGAGCGCTCTAAAGGGCCGCAATAATCCCTTTTTTTCGGTTCCGGCATCATCTTTGCGTGCCTCACCGATAAACCACTTTAATTAGTTGAATCCTTCTATACTTGAATTCATTCATTAGTACATTCGGTCGTAGCCTCCATTTAAGTGGATCTCAGTTTCATTCAAGTCTAACTGAAGTCTTAGCGACTGTTTGTCTATCCGTTGAATACGRTCACGGGACTTACAAACGATTTCCAATGATGGTTTCCAATGACATTCAATACCCACAATACCGTTCGGTCGTGAATATCTTTTGTCTAATGATAACCTTATTACTTTCAAAGACATCTTACAATGCAATGCGTTTGGAACATAAGAATACGCTATGCGATAAAAGAAGACGATTCCAGCTGAACGCTTTCTTTTTGCGTTTTGATTGATAGACTCAGAAAAATGTCGATTGATAGACTTTTATCCAAAWATGGTCGCCAAATTAAAAATTGTCGCATATCGAAAATTGACCGTGTGGATGAGYGTCACATAAAATGTAGCAATGATTTTGACGTCACACATCGATATACACTCTAAATTAATCAATAAAATCTCTGTTTTCTCTTACGAACTCYCAGAAGATCGATAGATAACTTGATTTTCGAATGGAAACCTACCATTCATGCTAGGTAAACAGGCGGGAACTATTTTCGTATTCAATACGAAAGAGACAATAACAAGAGAGGCAATTATTAAAGATGAATTTAAGTCTTGAAGTGTTTTGTGGCTGTGTAAGCTCAGGTAAGTATTTCAAAAGAATGGAAATCATTTTTTCTAGTATCTAGCGAAATTCAGTGTATCTTTAACAATTATTTGCTGCCTATCCACACGGACAAATAAAAATTGCCACATATAGTTGTCACATAAAAATTGCTAGTGTAGACGGGACTTAAATGATAATCGGACAGTGATGCACTCAGAACTATATTAAAGCAAATTAGTACTAGTATTACCATACTAGTGGACTATTGCAAATCCTTCATTCTGATTGGCTACGCTACTCGGGGTCTATTTTCAATAGTCCTTGACTAGCGAAAAGCGACAATTTTTTGCGTATTTTTAGCACTAAAAACACGTAGTTATTTATATATTTCATTCAATTTTTGTTCAACTAGTATGGCAATGCTAAAACCTTCGGACTCGTGGGCTATCAGCTCATAGTCCACTCGCCCTCTAGATCTACTGAATTGTTATTTAGACTTTACTGCCACCACGGCGGTCATCTGGAATCCGAAATGCTACATGGGAAAGATAAAAGTAAAACTGAGCCTTGTTGTTTTTCGTTTGTGATTCGGGTGTTTCCTGTTGTTTTTCGTACAAGAAGCATCATTTATTTACTAGACAGTTTAATTTAACATACTCTAGTGTTGTTGTAAATTTCGCAAAGAAACTTTGCCCTTCGTAGTTTTATCTTGATACTTTCTCAATGACTTTATGCAGTTAAAACAAAAATATAAAAGAAATAATTGCTGTCTATAGAATTATTTAATAGATAATTACTGAGGCACGCAGCATTCGTAGGTATAATGCAGCCAGTATTGGAGCTAAAGTTTATCATAAGACTCGATACTAAATCAGATGATTTCTAAATGGGTGCTGGGTCTTTATAAGGACTGATGTTGATAAGTAGTTCTCTTAAAAAACTCTTTCGTCCGGCAAGCTATTCTGCAATATTTTCAATATTGCTTTCTGTTTTGAAGCAGACAGCAATATTTTCAATATTGCAGCTGGCCAACCTGTTTCTGTCTGCATTCGTTGGTCTAATGCAGAGGGAAAACAATGGGTTACGATCGATATCAGTAATTATTCCGAAATAATGGCCAATCTGGTGATCATCCAAATTTTCGATGTTTTTGGCACATTTTATCATAGTGAATCTCCTAGCATTATCAATATCGTTATAGTCGTTAGATGAGTTTTTCACCGGGACATCCCATAGTTTCTCAGGAAAAGCAATGGCGGTCTTTTGGTATTATGGTCTTAAAAGCCCGTGAAACAAAAAATGTAATTATTGTAATTATTTCATTTCAAAAAGGTGGGAAAAGACACAAACAAAACCGTCGAATGCTCAGTTGCACTATTCAAACATCCATATTCACGGATTTACATGTATATATTTTTTTCAAAAGCCCGTGAAACAGGCTAGTACCCATCAAACAGTGGACTGTCTTGAATCCGGTATTCTGATTGGCTAWCGAAATGTATTTTATTCGGTACAGACTATGATCGCAGTAGTGAGTAGCAAGGGATGCGAAATCCAAGAAAGGCCAGTTTTTTCTCGTTTCAAGCTTGTCCTCGGTTTTGTGGTACGGTCTCATGGACTATCAAGTTCTGCCAGTTCATCCAACCTTGTATTAAATTTGTAAATAGCCGCCATATAGCCATACATATAGACATATAGACGCCATTAGATACACTGTAAAAAGTAGGTATTGGTTATCGCAGAATCATAGGAACCTCTGGTGTCCAGTACGTTYAAGCCCTTTGCAGGAAAATCATTTCCAAAAAGTCTAGAGCAAGAATCTGGACAACACAGACAACCTAAGCACTGCATTAATCTTAAAAACGTCTGTTGAAGAAATGTTTAGATTTTATTGTAGACATTTGCTCTTATGCAGTATTATTAATTTAAAACCCGAGGGTCGTCCTTGCATGTCTGTATATTATGTTTTAATTTAAAATACGGCTACGTTAGTCAAATACCGATCCGCGATGGTGTTTGATGGAAAGCAATATCAACTTTATAATTATTACTAGAAATAAGCTGTCAAAAATGTGTAGAAATGTCTTACCTTGATGCATCTAATGAATATTTAATAAAAAGCTCGTTGAGATAATTGTTATTGTTTTTATTAATTTRTTTGTACAGGGTCGAGAAATGCAATATATTTTTAGCGGAGCTCTCGCGCGGGCCTTGGGAGTACCATAAAGAAAAAGAAAAGATGAAAGAAAAGAAAAAAATGGTATATCCATATTTGAAAAATTTTCAGGCCAAATCCAGTGCTTGTGATCCCGATCCCAAAGCAAAATTATGATCCCTGATCCCCAAAATAACGCTGGTTCCTGATTCTTGATTAGTAGCTTGATGGCTATCATGCTTCAGTTCTTCAACCGACACTTTTCATCCCTGGGAAAAAAAAATTGTCTGGGGTAGGGTAAGGGTTTTGAGAGTCGTGCGGCACACCCCCACCCAAGTTGGGGAGGATGTCATTGTATATGTACGTGGAGTCGATACAAGATCAGGCAATAAGCTTGAGAGCCGCTTCGCGCAAAAACCAGACAAAACTGAAATTTTTTGGCAAGACTCGAAAAATCAAATCTATTCATATTTTGTATATTGATAAGGTATGATTAAGTAACAATCGCTGTGTAATTGGTTTTTGAAAATATTTCATTTTTCGCAAGAAAATTGCGAATTAAGGACGTTCATTGGCATTGGATTCCGTGATGTCAATCCGATGAAATTTTTTGGGGAAATAGGCGATGACATAAACTTGCAAAAAAGCGATAAAAAAGTGGAGGTCACCGGCTTCATTTTAGAGATAATTCTTGCACAAAATCACCAAAATTGTCCAAGAAAAGCGCGCGAAAAGGGGTCGATGCCGTCTACCAAAAAACTTCCCGAAAAATATAAAACACATATCAATTGATCCAAATTTTTCCACAAAAGCTGAGGGCGATAACTGTTAATATTGTCTACGAGACTTTGAAACATTACATGATGTGATTTTTGATTTCTTTAGGACTTTTGTTCTTGTAACGCCGCCACATTCGACGTCAAGAATAGGTGTCATTTCCAGCTAAAACTGCTATATTTCAGAAACCTCTGTTGTCGTTTTTTCCGCTTTCACATATGTTATATTTTTTCCAAGTAGCCTTCTTTTAAGATAAATAGAAATTGGGGTTACCGGGTTCGTTGTCGAAATATTTCGTGTCGAAATCTTAGATTTTGCAGGCCATCTTGAATTGCGAGAGACTTTTTTCTGCCAATCTACGACTTTTTAGAGCATTTTCAACACTTTTTCGCCTCATCAATTCTTTAGCAGTAGTAAATCTCTCATTTTTTGAACACGAAGACATTTTTCATTCAAGTAGAAGTTCAGAAAAGTACGTACAAAACCTCATAAACACATAACAAGAGCGGTCGCCATCTTTGTTTTGCGTGATGCAATTTCGTGACAACTTCCGGTTTGGGCGTGCGCAGAAAGCGTGCGCAGTAGCAATGCCCTCGAACGTCCTTAA